TATATAAATAATATATTTTTACTACAGTATAATTTATAAAGTGATGTAACTGTTTTTAAGCCAAATTAAACTTAATATTATGATGCCCACGTTGACTTGACAAAACTATCAGTCTGCTATAAAGCAAATAATATTGAGACATCTTTGCTGTTGGACCTAGGTATGTATCGTAGATGGCAGCACACTTAATATTGATTAATTTAGTACCAACCTTTTCCTGGTCTCAGTGAAAACTTCTCAGAATCATCGAAATGAATATCACCATTCATGTCACCGTGCCCACTTCTTGGGTAGAATGCATGCGCCAACCACCCACCTTTCCCATCGAACGGATAGGCGTCACCGTGTCTACCTTTAGCAAAAGACACATAAATGTCTGCTTCTCCCGAGTAAACTTGCTCCATTTTTAAGTTGGTTGCTGCTTCCCATATGTCGAATGCCCTGGCAATGTTTTTGTGGATCTTAGCTTTAGATGGTTTACCTCGCTTTGGATAGTTGAGTATTCTGAAAAAATAAATCAGTTTTTTGTTTTTATTACAAAACATAAATACACATTTTTTTTTTTATAAGAACCAGTAACATTTTGCCCAGGCTCAGTGTTCTTATTTTTTTGGCAAATTTCAGGCTCAAAATGTTCTTATTTTGTTCTTATTTTACACACTTTTCAAACATGGAAAATGATTATTGTACAGCAGTATACACTGTACTGGGAGGTGAAAGCGGCCCTGCAAAAAATGGCCACTGAAAGAAAGGCCCAGCAAAAAATGGCCCCACACAAAAAAAAAAGCCCCGGTTGTTGAACTCAGCCTCAATTTGTTCTTAATTTGTTCTTAATTTTTAAGCAATTTCAGTCTCAGTGTTCTTATATAAAAAAAAGTGTAGCGCCTCTATTATAAAAATTTTGGCAATACATTGTATTGGCAATACGTATCTTCTTGGGCCCCAAAGTTCTCAATTGGCTTTCTTAACAACGGTGGCTCAAGAAATTTGCCAACAGGGGGATTATTAAGTCGGACAGGGGTGTAAACCAATGGGCAGCCTAGTGGCACAGTTAGGTTACATCACTACTGTAATCTCTGAAAATTAGCTTGTTTCAATAATGTATGTTGCCCTCTACAGTTAGATATTTCATTATCAAATAAACTTTTTGGCTTAACTGAATGAAATTTGCTATCTTAGATTCTTCATGTCATTCACTTTTAAAGAAAATACTTCCCTATCGCTTTTGATATTGTATTAGATTTTTTTTAGACCATTTACAGAAATTAAAAAAAACTTTGTAAACACATGAATTGTTGAATATTGTGTACTCTCGGGGCTCAACAGCTTTACTGTGAAACTGTGACATTACATTATCACGAAAGAGTGAATCTTCGGGTTTATTAACACCTAAACCCACCCCGATAATTATGTTAAATACGGTATCATAAGGCAGTGTGAATGGTTTAGGTTAATTATAGTAACGTGAATAGAAATTCTACTGCCTTCGAAACTCTTTTAAACAGTTCCTAATTTTGCTTCTTTTGTATTCAGATATGTCTACCGAATTCATGGGGAAAAAAACTCATTCGCAGATGTTTTACCAGATGATGATTGATGGAGTACACTACCCACCATGTGCCATCCATGTTTAGGTAGAGCAAATCTCACAAGTCCCAGCACCTTAAATAATCACTTAAATATTATACAACGGATGATATGTACCAATATATGTACCAAATTATTTCATATTTTCAGTAACGAATTGACCAAAGCAGTGTATATGACCTTAAAAGCGAACCACCGGAAATTAAGATTTTACAGACAGTTGAATAAACTCATAATTGATTACAGTAGTTGTCTTTGTGACGCATAGCTTGGGCAGTAACGACATTAGCGAGTAGAAGCACATTTTAGAATAAAATTAGATTAATAGTATAAATGGGCAGTAGTAAGCCCACGGAGGTCAATTTAATTTAGATACGGTACATGGATCCTTTTTCCTACTTCACGAAAAAAAAAAAAATCCAAAACTAGACTATGGTTAATGGTCAGTAAGCGAAAGGTCAATGGCTTAATTTACGAATGTATTTACACACAAATCTTTTATGGAAACCACACACACACAGTTGGTATCATAGCTTCGCACGGATAATTTCAATTGTTTCGCGATAGAGGCAATCAAGGGTGGTAATTTCTGTGACAATAGTTCTCTTAGTTAGCAAGGCGCAAGCAGCGGAGATGTTGAACTTTCAGGATATGCCTGATCCCATGTGTTAATGCGTCGTGTATGTGTCAACATCGCGTTGGCTTTCATTTGTTTTTATAGAGTCAAACGTCGCAACACTAATTGGCGGTGTTCGACCTATCTGTGTTTTTGATAGTTTTGTTGTAATACAAAGCACCCGCCGACAGGCTTGTTAAATACGGTACTATTTAAAGGACTGTAGCTCTTACACAAGGTTGACAAAATTAAGTACAAACTTACTCACTTAGGCCTAACTATCACAAGCTGGTTTGAGCCTAGGCCTACCACCGTGGAATTACTTCAACATACACAAATAAAATAGTTTATGTATGTCTATAGAGACGTTAATCTGTATTTTTACTGTCCTTGGTTTAAAAATTCGAACCGAGGACCTTCGATAAACGCTTTGACTGCGTCCCAACGATTTCATTAATATGTAGTTGTTGATAGGCCTACATTAATACGTCTATTCGATTGTATTCAACAAAATGTATTTTCAATTTAATAATAGGCCTACAGGGAGAATAGGTCATTAATTTGGGTTTTAATAATGGTAATCTTACAGTATGTACAGTTCGTACCTCCTTATAATGTTTTACGTTATCCCAGATACGTTATGACTCGCTGGGTAAGTTTAATTGCGGGGAAACAGGAAAGTAACAAAGTTCTCAGAAGATGTGACGTTTTATTATATACCACCAGATACCTTAATTCAAGCATACCTGTCCTACTGGGGCACTGGTTTCATGTTCAAAATATGATACACATATATGTGACGTCAAGGTATACTAATATTACTCTGAGACTTTACCAAAGCAAGTTTACGTAATGTATTGTTTCTTAGCAGGTAAGTAAGTGGTGTCCCTTGTCAATTTTACAACAGAAGTAACAAAATATCGGAGCGGCTTCACTATGACAGTGAGTAGGCCTATGGTATGTTGAGACATAGGCCTAGGATGTTTTTGTAGCTAGCCTACGCCAAGGATCTAGATTGCAAGAAGCCATTGGCCTATTTAAACAGGTAAATACTCAACAACTACGTACCCATGCTTTGACATACTGAATGCGTACGGCAGGCCAAATCTATACTCACCTATAAGTTACTTTAGACTTAGACCACTTGCCACCTATATGAATATACCTCTTTTGACGCATTCCGTTTGCTGTTTCATCACCATTCTCCCCACTTTTACCGCATTTTGGAGGGTTAATAAACTGTTCAATGTCGTCGCTATCTGATATTGATGATAGTGACGATGACGATGATAATGATGACGTCGTCTCTGACGAAATAAATGATGATTTACTCATGGTGTCAACGTCTATTAAGGGACCGTGTTTTTTCTGCTTAGACATGTCAGAAGTCTAAAAAAAAAAGATGTTACTTCAATGTAGGAAGAAACTACGAAACTAAATGTAAGAAGTAAAAAATGATAGGCCTAGCTATTAGATAACGTTTTAGATATAAGATATCCATAGATTACAAAAAGTGGTGGTTTAAAGTTGTTATAAATAATATTTAAATCGTTCATAGCGTTTTCGCAGTTGTTATTATTTGAAAAAGTTCATAAGCGCATGGTGGCAGGTAAGGACTGGTTCTCAAACATAAATTAAAATTTTAATTGACGTAATATTTTAGGCCTATTTTGCATCATTATTAATATTTTTTTTAAAATATAATCCATCTTTGGTAAACTTGTGAAGGGAGTGTGAGTATATTACGCTTTGTTTGTGCTATCAATTCATGCTGAATAATATTATTGAATATAATCTAAGATTACGTTCATAATCTGTAAATATTTATAATATATATATTTCATCGTAGGTCTCTACGCCATATAAATTTTCAACGCAATCTGTAATTTGATACATAAAATTATAATATATAACTTGTATTTGCATACATCGAAGTGTAAAAATGAATAGGGCAACCAGACACCTAGGCACATAAAAGAATACAGGTCTACCAGTAAGTTATAGACCTACATAAAAAAAATAGGCCTACTATGTTATGGACGAATGATTTTTATTATTAGCTTCAGGCTCATTTATTAATGTCAAGAAAAGTTCGTAAGTGTACTAATGGAAGTCTTGATCAATGCAAAACATCAAATATACTGTAATTAAACATGTTCACAAAACAATTAAAAATATAATCAAATCAAACTGGGTAAACCCCGAGATAACTAACAACCTTACCTGAGGTATATCTGAAATCGGCATGGCTTTTGAAGATGAAAGCGCGTAACAGCATAACACGATCAGATATTGCACGAGTTTAATATTATTGAAAGCACCACGCTTCATTTTTATAATAAGTTACGAATAATATTTTGGTGGAATGTATAAATTGCGAGTTGAGGAAATACGGAGGTTACCGGAAACAACTTCTTTTTGAAATTGGAAACGAAATGTCGAATATATATAGGCTATTCCGACCGACCACGAACAGGTCTATTTCAGTGTGTCTCGCTCCTCATTGGTCAGTCTCGCTCGGTTGGTGACTCATGAGGGATTTCTGTGTCGTGGTTTGTCAAAAGTAACCGGAAGCAAAATTAGGTAGAAATACATCCAATATGAAATTTGCGGAAGTTCCTTCTATTGTTTTATTAATCATAATAGGCCTATATCAAATCTGTAATAGGGATATTGATTCCATGTATTATTACATCATATGATTGTGTCACAAAAGAAAATCCAAACGGGAAATTATATTTCTGACTAACTACCAATAGGCCTATACCACTCTGCCTACTTCTACGTCTGCTTCCTATAGGCCTACCTTGTCATGTCCCTCTTTTTTTTTCTTCTTTTTTTTTGGTTTAAATTGTTTTACCATTTTTAAAATCTATAATCCATCAAAAATATCTGGTGGATGATTTGGAAACCGGAACTACAGCTATAAAGTAGGTTTAATTGCGCATAAATACATTTATACATTCATGCAAACGCCGTACGCCGTAGGCATGTATTCATTTTTAACGTTAATTCTTTCACTTTCCTCTAAACAAAAAACATTATATATTATGAAACTTTAAAGTTTCATAAAACATTATATTTTATGAAACTTTAAAGGACAATGTAATATTGAATCCTATTGTATAACAATCCTGTGTGTTTATATTACTATAATGCCATTTACTCTATGTTCTTCAATACACAATCCTTTTGTTCTGACTTTTTGACAATAAAGAAATATTGTATCTTGCGTCTCTTGTATACCTGCCGTAATGCAGTGAAACAATGATTCTATATACAAAAAAAAGTTTTGCAGCGCAAAATGCGCCTTAATATTGCCTTAATTTGTTGAATTATAGCCTATGCTTATGTATATCTTCTTCTATTGAGGAGGGGAATACAGCATAATGGCGTAAAGTGATTCGCGGATGATATCAATTAGCCTAATGTGGGTCAAAACCACCTTGGCCTCTTTGTATCAGATTACAACTAGGTGTCCAGTGGCTGAGTTCGTCATATAGGTGGCTCTTTAATTATATAATTTAATGTAAGACTCATTACACCACAGTAAGATACAGTTCAATGAGTCGTAATATGTGTTATTTCGACCGTCACATCTCCAGAAAATGTCGTTTAAATTAAGAAATCATGGCCGGGTATAAGGTCGTTTCTACGGAAATGGATGTGATCATGTGATAAATACTAGAGATCGAAATCAAAATAAAGTACCTAGTCAGGCGTTAATATTCATACTTGAAAGCCTGTTAGATTTAAACATCCTGAATCGAATATGAAGTGTAGTTCGCCTGCTACACTACTGATGTCTCCACCATTATTGTTATTGATGGTGATGATGATGATGGTAATGATGATGATAATGATTGGTGATGATGATAGTGATTGGTGATGATAATAATAATTGATTATAGTAATAATAATAATAATAATTATTATTATTATTATTATTATTATTGTTATTATTATTATTATTATTATTATTATTATTATTATTATTATTATTGTTATTAGGCCTACTACACCCTAATAATACTATAGTACTACTATTATTATTATAAAGTTTTAATTATCTTTTGTTATTACTGCTCATTATTAATATTATTTGCCATTGAAAAAATATGATTAACTTTCTTTACTTAAGAGCCCCTTTAAATGTCTAACAAATAAAATAAATTAATCAATATTGTATATCGAATCGCATGCTAATGCTTCATATATAAACAACATTCTATGCTTATCTAAAACAAAAACACTAGATTACGAATGCCTATACAAAATATAAGCTTATTTACTTTCTATGCATTTACCAATTTGTGTAACTAGATTCGATGACGTGAGAACCTGGTATGGGTTTTGTAAGATTTGACACTTGCTGTGAAAGTGACGTAGATATTATGCCATATAAAGTCATGATGTACCTATATATAGTCATGATATAAATATGTCATTGTGACCATGTCATGTACGTACATTTATAACAGCAATGTTGGACATCAATAATGGAATAATATAAATACGTACTACGTAATGCATACTTTATTTTATTGTATTTTTATATAAATTATTTTAAATATTGAAATGTACTCATGTTATTTCCATTTTATTGGACCAAATAAATTGAATCTTGAATCTTAAGAGGTCCTGACTTTCATAGTCTTAGCCCCTGTCCAGACATTTTGTTATTTGTCAAAACATGTGGCATGTCTAAATATGGTCATGATAACGTCACATCATGACCATATATAGAAACATCATGACTATATATGGGCATACAAGTTTTTTTTTATTTTTTTTTAAGCAAATGTGTTAATTTGGCAGGACATTGAAAAGCTGTTATTTTTCATTTTATTTTTATGTTGTTTTTTTTTATATTATTATTGATTGTACTGTATATCTAATGCAAATATGTGTAGGCATACCAATACGCTAAAATCAAATTTTATGTGATAAATAAATGTGACATGCCCATATTTGGATGCAATATTACATCATCATATCACAAAAATTTGTCACATGTGCCGTCAAATGCTTTACGTCAATTGTATCAACATTTCCTTAACGTCTCTCGTCTCTTAACATCTAAAAAGGATAGTAATTTAAATCTATTAAAATATATTTATGGCATAATATGATTCCTTGCCGTAAGGCATGATTGATTGACTGATAATACAATGGAATGTGTTTGCTTACTTCTATAAACTTTCCCTTTGAAAAGTTGTTTGTTACACATACCATAAAAAAAAAACATATTTCAATTAAATGTAATGACGGGATAAACGTCGGTCCAGCATCGAGTTGGTCAAACGAAGCTAGATTCCAGCTACGATTAATTTCAAATCTGAATATATGTTGATTTACATTATACCCGTATCAGATATAGTATTCCAAAGCTAATACTTAACCCATGTTTATTACATATTCAGTTGACACCTACTTTCCATTGTGGGTTTCAAATATATACTAAGCAGATCGGAAGCCAAGGCATCTGACCTTCAAAAAATGTCATTAATAAACCATATCATGTACTTAACTGTCAATCAGATAGTGGCAATAACTGCGCACGTTTCTTTCACAATGGTACACAGTGTCGGATTCAAGGGGGCCCAGCCGGTCCGCCCCCCCCCCCCCCACCAATTATTCAAAATTTTTAAAAATGGAGAAAAAAAATGGAGATATAAAGAAAATTATATTCAAATTTTAAGTCTGAGAGTGCAATTTCCGGCCATCTAGTGGTGCCATAATCACAAATTTTCTTACCGCAGCCCCACCATGAGTGGGGTACCGATGGAGAATCCGCCACTGGTACATATATTTATAAGTGATTCGGGTGGGAATCGAACCCATGAGCTCCAGATATAGCCTGCTGCCATAACCCCTAAACTACCGAGCTTTCGCTTTGTCAATGATTTACAGATTTTTACTACGAAAATCCTGAAACTGATTTACTGTACTGTAGCCATTTGGTCTATACGAAGAAAAAAGAGGCTCTGTCCAAACATGTGAAATGCCCATATTTAGGTGTAATATTACATCATCATGTCCATATATGGGTACATCACACAAATTTGTCACATAGAAGTATTTTGATAATGTACACAGAACTATAGAAACAGTATTATCTCCTTTTGTCTGTTAGACATACAGCAGGCCAGTGGCCACCTTCACGATTATTTATATATTTTAACAAGTTGTATTTGTCCCTACTGGTTCGAACATCATAAAAACATCTTCAAAAGATTTAATCTTGTTTAAAAAAATTTTAAAACCTGTTTATTTGTATTTAAATAATGTCGTGTTTTTTTTTTTGGTTTTTTTTTTAGCTTCTAGCCACTCGATATCACACATTTAAATGTTAAATTATGTCCAGTTCCTTATGTTTTCTTTTGAACCAAATGATAACTTAATTTCATCTTGAATAGTGCATTGCGAGTTCAGTTTAAGGTACGGGTTTTCTAGGAAATCAACAGAAACCTCTGCTGACATTATAAGACTAGACCTACCGCATTTTTCTTTGTAGTCGCTCGGAAAATGCATTCTATATATAGCAATTTATTTTAGTAACCCACAATAACAATTAATTGGTATTTATTTGGTTACTTCTACATACCTTCTTGATTATAACTAATTTAAAGAGACTCGGATCATGCTGAAAATAGTAGGGCTATAGGCTTGCGATATAAAGCATAAAATACAAGATGCAAGTTTGGGCAGAGGGTAACAAAAAAAAAAAGAATGCTAAACTTCAATAGCAAGAGAGGCATCAGAAATATACAGGAAAATGTAATAACGACAGCACACATACTTGTATAAGAAGGGGATTTGAAAGTACCTTCCTAGTAGATATGAGTACCCATATTTTGTAAAGATGTGGCCGATTAAGAAAAGAATCAGTGAATAGACATATATAT